AGATACATGAGAATCCAGGCTTTTTTATCAACGCTTTCTTTTCCGTATACCAGATATTATGGAACTTCTTCAGAAGGGTGTCAGCCAGTCAGATTCCAAGAATCGGTACTTTAAAGAAAAAATACACACCGGTATTCCATTTCTCCCTAAACATTTTAAGCATCGAAGTCTTTAACTAACTTGTGAAATAGGGTGTAAAAAAGTGGTAGTTTTAAGCTTTTCTGCTAATATAATATGGAATCGCATATCTAAAGAAATTAATAACGATATGATTATATTTGTGTACTGCGACAGGGCTGTGTAGGGCTGTTTCGCCTTACAGTCAGACAAATGCAACATAAATTGGGCTGTGTAGTCTTCTAAGTATCTTAATAAACTTTCAGCATAGCTTTCTCCCCGTTTAGATTTATTTTTCTTGGGATCTTGGGATCAAACATGGAAAGATTAGATTGTAATTGTTTTTACTTTTTAAAAACATTTTAGAAAAGTGTTATCTATACTAAAAAGCTGTACAGCACTTGCTATAAAGATACATATTGTAATACTTTCGGGCTCGGATAGGACGGACACAAGAGCTCAGACTTGCGGAGTTAAAGCAAGTTAAAGCCTTGATTTTATATATCACCTTTAAAAGTGGCATCTCAAAGCAATACGGATTACAAAGTAAATACCCAACACTGATTGTACCCATCTGTCATGCTAATAAAGCACCTTGAATTGAATTGAATTGTGAGAGAGAGGGGGGGGAGGGGGAGCGAGAGAGCACAGCCAAGACAGACAGGCAAAGAAGATACACTCCGCAGACATTCACATTCTGGACATTCTCCAACAGCGACATATCATAAAATAACGTTTGCACATATTGTTTAATTATTACTTGTTTTTCAGGAAGTTAATAAACACTTGAATTACTTATCCAATCTCTCTAAATTATTATTTAGAATTATTTTTGAATTATTTTTCAAGCAATGCAACGAACGTAGGGCAACGGGTTTTTTTTTAATCCAACATTGACAGCCACATCTTAAATCTTGTCAGTCAGCTCTTTTTTCTCTATTTGAATTGTGGCGATTCAAACAACTTGGCATAACAATTGGTCTCAAAGTCACCAAGCTCACAGAGATTCAACAACAGATGACAATTTCCTTAGTCCTTCCTTAGTCTTCCTGAAATTGCCAGAATATGAGTGAATAAAAGCATTTTATTAAAAACACATTTGCGTTTCTTTGGGAGCTATATTATGTATTTTTCATATGTAAGATATAATGATGTGTTCCTGCTTACACATCGCATGACTTTAAAAGCTAGAAAAACAGGTTTCGAATCACATTATCTGGCGAGCCTTGTCCTGTCAAAGGAAAATTCTGTTCTACTCTGAGAATGTAGGGGGAGGAAGAATGCCCGTGGTCTTTTCACTTACTGCAATATAATGGACACTCAATTGACTTTAAAAAAAAAAAACTTTTTTTTTGACAGCTGGTACAGCACCCCACCGCGCCCACGCACCAGCATTATATTCTCATGTATGGGTAGAATATGTTCATTGTCTTCCAATGAAAGAAGGGTTCCTTTCACCGTAGTCGGGAGACATTAGAAGCTTGCCATGCCCGGACTGTTACACCAACACATTAGCATGTTAAAGCGATTTCATTGAGGACCCTAGCTTTCTTAACTAGTAAGTACTGTACTTACTGGGTTTTTGAGGGGGGGAGGTGTCTTTCGTTGGAAATCTCTCCCCCTTCTACTTTGAAAATACCTGTGAAACCGGTTTAATTCGT